ACAATCATACGAATTTCAAGTATCGACGATATTATTTTTCGATAAACTATTTTTTTTCAAACAATTGACCCACATCTGCTGCATACTGCATTTCAAGGGAGGTTTCAAGTGTACCGTGTATAAAATTTGGTTGGAGTAATTATTATTATTCTGGTTAATTTTTAAAAAACGAAACAATATTAGTTTGAGAATTTAAAAACTGTGTATCTCAAAAACATAGCGTTTGCGGACAACATAAATTAATACATTGTCTGTTTGTTTTTCAAGAAGCAGTTTTTGAAGAATGATGGAATAAGCTGGGTGTCTATATTTGAAAGCTAATACTCCGAATTCCATTGAATTTTGTGTTGTCATGACCAAATATGGTTTTTTTTAGAGCAAGAATTCAAACACTTTGTATCCCGAAAACAAAGCATTTGCGAACAACATAACTGAATATACCTTGTCTGTTTGTTTTTTCAGAAGCAGTTTTAAAGAAATGATGGAAGTAGGCTGTCCATATAGAAAAGTTAATATTCAGAATTCTATTGAATTATGTGTTGTCATCACATTATGAATTATTTCCGGAAATATTTTAGCAGTTATATTTCTTTCGAAGGTGCCAGCCGATGGAAATTTCATCGAAAAAGTCTGAGTAAAAACTTTAGGATTTTCAATTCGAATTTGGAAAATATTCGACATGAACAATCTGCACCATATATTTTTTTTTTCAAGTCTCCAGAATATCAGAGTTGTTGGTGATTTTTCTGCTTCAGAAAGAAGGATATTGCTAGATAGTTCAGAAATAACTTGCAGATAGAGGTACTCGAGCAGATTCCGAGAGTCTATTTTGTAATTGAAACTCATTTCCTGATAGCTCTATCTATTATTTTTTTCAGCAGATTCTCATTAGTCGCGTTTTTTTTTTATTCTCCGGTGTACGAATTCTATAGGAACCAATAAAACGGCAAAGAATGCAGAATGACATTATGATGTTACGATAATCGTATGTGACAACCATATACAATCAAAATGAGATAATCATCATTGAAAAGCATCAAATTAGTAGGTACTTATATCAATTTTTGGATCTCTGGTTTGGATTTATACATTTTATTGAATATTGAATAATAATTCTGGTACGTGTACGTTGGTATTCCTACTAAGACTAATCAATAATCATCATTAATTGGTGTTATTCGATATAATGAAATTTTGATAGTATCAATGGAGAATATTGTAGTGAGTCATGCAGTGAGCACCATATTAAATATGGAAATGAAATGATCTTCAATATACTTATAATAATTCAGCAATTGAAGTGTGATTCCAAAATAATAGCAAAATGAATGAACAACTTGAATGAATATAGATACCCACCCACCATTTGATATTCAATCATGTTCAGTTGAATTTGAATAAACTGAAGACGTCAGTCCAGAATCATGAGTTATACCTATACACATTTTTCCTCTTTTGTTGACTCATCTTATCCATCAGTTGAAGTACCTACCTATTCCCTATTCCGTATCTACTATTTTTTCTCCAAGTTTACCAACAAAATTAATATGATGTCTGTTAAATTGAATACCCTTTTTTCTCAAACTTTTCAAACATTCCACCACACATTCAATGTTCTGAGACCGAATGGACAATGGCACCAGGATGATGAAAAATTCCACAGAATATTCAATAAAACGGCGATTCTGTCTCACTGGTGACAGAAGCGATATCAATGAAACGCAACTATTATTGGTACTCATAATGAGGCTCTCAGTATCTTTGTTTATTATACAAGATGGTCATTCTTAATGGCTGAAATATTTTGGTAATGAAACTATAAAAGTTCTAATTGTAGCAGTTTCGTGGCACAGGTCTAAGGCTGTTTACTCTGAGATGTCATCCTTTTTCCCAGATGTCTCGTTATCGACACCATATAACCTCGGTGCCATTGATTCCTCTTCACGGGTTTCCACAACTTGGATTTGGTTGCTAGAGCCTCGTTCATCAATCCGCGACCACATTAGCAGATGTTCACAAATTGCTTCATCTTCGCACACAGGTGTCCACAAAACTGTCTTATCTGAGTGAACAAAGATGTCCACAGAATACTCCACCTGCCGAGCACCCGCGGCTTGCCCTCTCCGCAACATGGTGAGGTTGGGCTCACGGAGAAAAGGAAAAAAAGGAGAATTGGCCAGAAAGGCCGATAGAAGAGATTGAGAACTGAAAAGTGAAGTGAATACCATTCTCATGTTCTTTATGTTCTGGTTCCCACGAAAAGGGATATCCTCTAATGTCCATAGAACATCGTGAGAACCAAGGGAAATAAGGTATGATTTGGTGTTCTCCTCAAATTTCTGGAGGTTATATGCATCGGGGTACACCTCTCTTGGCAATGTGTTCCAGAGCCTCGCTGTTCGTTGGATGCACGAGTCTTTGGAAAGAGATGTTCTGCAGGTCTCCGAAGTGACCAAGAAGGGGTGCGAAGCCTCAAATCGACGGGTTAATCTCGCGGAGACTGCCAAGGGAGGAACAATTGTTGATATTTTAGAAGAGCATCGTCCATGGAAATATTTATGAAATAGAGCCAGATCGCCAACTTTTCTACAGTGTTCCAGAGATTTGAGTGAGTTTGTGAGAGAAGAATCACCCACGAGACGAATTGCCCATTTTTGGACAGAATCCAACAGTTTCAGGGTATATTTGGGTGCTGCACTCCAAATATGGGAACAGTATTCCAGGACGGGTCGGATCTTTGCCTTATAGATCAGAAGCAGCTGACTGGAAGTGAAATAGCTCCTGGCCCGAAACAGAAAACCAAGTTTTTGGGATGCACCTTCAGCAATCGATCTTACGTAATTTTTTTCCAAGGAAGTTTATTGCTGATAGTAATACCAAGCATCGAAATGGATGTCTTCAACGGTATGGTTACTCCTGACAAGCTTATGTTGGGCACAGTGAGATCGGCTTTCCTAGAGGAAAGGTATGCTTGTGTTTTGTTTGCATTGAAATCTACCAAGTTATTGGATCCCCATTCGAGAATTGTTGCCAAGTCCATATTTATGTTGTCAACATTTCCCCTCGTTCGTTTCTGATTCGCCTGGCTGGTATTGGAGACCTGGAAGAGATGGTGGTATGGAGGGTACTATAATCCTCGAAGCTGTGTACTGGACATGAAGTTGCTTTCAACATATCGTTGATATGGAGTAGAAACAGTGTTGGTGCTAGAAGCAATCCTGGCGGAACACCAGCATTTATGATATAAGAGAGTCAGATGAAACTCTGTAGACCACTACATGGAGAGACCTGTTTGAGATAAAACTATTTAGCAGAAAACATAGCTGAGCAGGCAAGCCATAAGATGGAAGCTTGGCGAGGAGTCCGTGGTGCCAGACTCGATCGAATGCCTTGGAGATATCAAGTGCCACGGCTAAGGTTTCACCAAATTTTTCAATAGATTGCTGCCATATATGTGAGACGTAAACGAGTATGTCACCAGTTGATCTCTGATGACGGAAGCCATATTGCCTATCGTTGATAATACCTGAATGTTTCAGGTATTTCATGAGCTCGATGTTGATAGCTTTCCCCATGATCTTTGAAATGATAAATAGCAGTGCGATCGGTCTGTAGTTGCTAGGTAGGGTCTTTTTGCCTTTTTTAGGAACTGGTTGTACTTTTGCAATTTTCCAGTTGGACAGTTGGATTCAGGACAAGTTCAAGATTGATGTGTGACCAGCTAGGGTACTTCGGGCTCGCAATTCCCGTTCTCACAAGTCGTAAGCCCCTGAGGGAATAAATGATATTCACGAATTCCTGGAGAATATTTTCGAGAAATGCATGACCAGAAAATGAATCATTATTTCCTTCAATCCAATTGTGACGTCCCAAGATAAAGTCCCAATACATTGTTATAACTTTTATTTCGATATTGATATTGTCTTTATTATATTGATTCATCTAATTTGAAAAATGGTCAACTTGTTTACCTATTGGTACTGCTCTAGAGGGTGTTAATTACTATCGTATATACCAATTTACCCCACTTCTTCTTCAAGACGTTCATTTACGGTTCGTTACGCTCTGTGACGTATAAAATACTTTTTCAAGACGTGCGGAATTCTCATCTCCAATTAGCTCTTTTCTATCTTGAACGAGAGAGAGGAAAGTTCTCTCCTCTTCCATCTCTCTCTTCAATCTTCAATGCTACCAACGTGGCCGCATTGAAATATAGAGAGGTCCGATAAATCTTTCCTTGTCTAACATCTATTATGCGTCACTGTACTATTTTCGATGTTATAATGATGTAATATGTCTATGTCATAAATGTCATTGACTGATAACATTTCGATTTTTTTTGAAATTCCAAATTATATCATACTTATTTTGACATCACTTGTTAATATTGTTAAATTTGACACTCTGCTGAATTCAAAAATAGTTCAGTGGCAAAAACTAGATGTTATACTAGGAAAGATTTTTTATCGGCCACGTTGGTAGCATTGAAGAGAAAGATGGAAGAGGAGAGAACTTTCCTCTCTCTCGTTCTAAGTAGAGAAGTACTCAATTTGAGGTGTATTATTCATATGGATGTCTTTCTTCTTGTGAGAATCGCGCATCGCAGTACGCACCCCTGCCTTCGAATGTGAGGCTGCGAGGAGACAGAACGCATTTCAAATCATGGATTCGGCAGCAATGTTTTTATTTTCAATAACTTGGAGAAAATAATTCAACTTGCAGGAACGTTAACTTTCATCGATAATTATAAATACGGTATTGACCGTAAATAGTCCAAAGTAAAATTTTGATACCTATTACGTTCTATAACCAATTGATAGAACCTATAGAGCGTAAATATTCATTCAAGAATAATGCATGAACTCGTGTTTCTCATAATATCATCTATTAGAAACTTCTTTCTCACCGCGTAGAGGTAATAGTACCTTCTAGCAACCCCTCCAATGAGAATAATGCTGGATACCGCTAGGTATCCGTACTCTTTAACTGTTGTGGCTGGCAGTACCGAAGCAAAGTGTACGGTGAAAGTATCGCGGGTAGGTACCTACCTGTTGTCTTCGGTTCGATAGTGTGTGAATCGCTTGTGAAACGAATTTTATTATCATCAGCTTACTTTCTTCCATATTCGGTCTGGTTGGTTTCATCAATAGGTGCTTAAAGGAAATCAGGTACTGCCTACTAACAATGTATTGATGATTTAGTACTATCTGATAGAAAAATGGAATATTCATTTTTTTACATTATTTAAGTAGGTACACGCACAAATCTCATTGTCACAATTTACCAGAGGACAGTAGGAAGACCAGAGTATATAGGTATATTATTATGGGACTGTTTTCATTGTCCACTCTATTGTTCATTATGAATTAACTTTTTTCTGATTAGCAATTAATATACTAGTGATATTTACCGCAGTGGCGGATCTAGGCAGTTTTTCAGGGGGGGGCCATGGGCCGTGAGTTAATGGAATTTTGAAACCAAAGTAATTGAAACCACATGAATAATGAATGATATGTATATGGAAATATATATAATTATATATATATATATAGCACAAAGCCCATGGTTTTAACTTCATCACTTTCGTTTAGGGTGAAACTTTGCACAGGGAATGGTTTTGGTATGAAAATGTTCAGGGACAGCAGAGTAGAAAAAACATCTGAAAAGACCAAAGTAATGTGTTTCAAATCTCCAGAAAAGAGATGCGGGTAGAGGATGGATATTACTTTTATTTGCCGTGGCGCTCCGTGGCCACTCACTGATTTTTGGTGGAGTATTCACTTTTCAGCTGCAGGAAAATCCGGAAAAACCTACAGCACCACCTTGGGTGGGTCGGAGCTCACTCCAGGATAACATAAATGTGATGGATAAAAATGTGACTAAACAAACAAAAACACAAATCCACAATTTTACCGATAAGTAAACTTAATAATTAAACGCATAAAACATAAGCTTATTGAATTATGTTCATAAAACAAAATCTACATGCCTATGGCCACTGTTGGCAAATCTGTTGATAACTAATTGTTCATTAATCTCAATGTCCGGATGAGCGTTAATAATAGCTAAACCAGATAGCCTATCTTCCGAAATAGTAGATCTGAGCCAACTTTTTATCCGCCTCAACGAAGAAAAACTTCTTTCTGATGAGGCAACACTGATCGGAAGTATAATGAAAATTTCAAGAAATGATGTTATTAAAGGAAACATTATTTTATCGCAGTGAGCAAGGGCTTCTAAAGCATCGTCTGGAACAGGAAGTTTTTCTTCGCTGGCTTTTAACCACTTCGCCTTCCATAACTTCAGTTCGCTTTTGAATTCTGTCGGCCTTGAAAATAATTATTTTTCCTCTATCGTTATCTGTTTTGCCGCCCTTTGATCTGACCGCCTGTGTCGTTTTCCCATATTCCCACTGCATACAAGAATATTTCTATATAATATTTGTATATGATAATGAATGAAATTAAAAAAAGAGTTGATTTGGCATGTTCGAGTGTTTGAGGAACCATTCAATACGAAAACTACGAATACGAATAATTTTGGTTTGTATAACGTAGCTTTGGTTGCATATCCAGACTGATTGTTGAACCAATATCAACTACTTATTCAGAGCTCTGGGGGGGGCCATGGCCCCCATGGCCCCCCCCTCAGATCCGCCAGTGATTTACCGGTTTATTTTAGATATGTTTAGTTTAGCGTGGTTTAGCTGTTTTGCTCGATACAGCCTGATCCGAGGGGTAAATCACGGGCTGAAATTGGGTACACTAGACTTCCTTTATTGAAAGAATTCCCGGAATTCCTGGGACTACCCAAGGAATTCCTAGGAATTCCCAAAGACTACCCGGAATTCCTGGGACTACCTAAAGACTACCCGGAATTCCTGGGACTTCCCAAGGAATTCCTAGGAATTCCCAAAGACTACCTGGAATTCCTGGGACTACCTGAGGAATTCCCAGAGACTACCCGGACTTCCCAAGGAATTCCGGAATTTCCTAAAGATTTATCATACATCCCAAGGAGTTTTCAAAATTTTGCTTAAAAATAGGTAGATTACGAATGAGTTCCATTCGTGAAATGCAAAAAAAGTCAATCGATAGGTAGGTTGAATTCAAACCCAAGGACGAAACTTGGGCAATGAAAAAACATGTAGGGATTAGTGATAAGTACTCGGATAAGTATCATTAACACTACTGGGTGTTTCTGAATTCAAGTGACAAAAGCCTATACAGGTTTCTTCCTATTTAAATAAAAAATTAGCAGGCATACCATTTACAGATTTTGCAAAAAAGTTCCGGTACATATTAAAAAAAATCTGGTTTTTCATCTCAATGTAATGAACGAAATTCTTTTGCCGATTTGAATGATAATTATTTTAACAGCTCATTGAAGTCTTCTTGAGATATCGTTCGGAACTCTTTAATTTGCTCAGTTATTCAAGAATTATGTTTACGACAAGTGTTTCACTTTTGTTCACGAAGAATACCATTAGTCGATTTTCTCAATTCATTTCAGATGAAACAGTTGAAAATATCGTGAAACCAAGATAAGGTAATATAGGGATCTCGGGAACAGGAAAAAAAACGGATTCGGTTAAATGGGAAACAAGTTGCGCATTTTGATGATCATACCAACGGCTTATTTGGAGAATTTTCACAACTGTTTTTAGTTTTTCAGTTATACAGGGTGTTCCTTAAGTACGTGTAGAAAATTCAGGAACATGTTGCTGACGTCAAAATAAGAAGAAAAGTTCGTATAAATATATGTCCGAAAGTTATTCGTTCCTGAGATACAGAGTGTCAAAGTTGAATTCTTATTTTTGTTTTTTGTTAATAAATTCCAAAAAAATTGTGATAATCGAATGAAGTTTGGTATCTAGGGGTATTTTTCAATGACAATATCAAATTTTCTGTTAGTTTGCCTCTTTCGTGGGGGTGGCGCCACCTACATGTCTTTTGAATTTTTGAAAAGTCATAACTTTTCTGTTCGTACCTGTATCACGTTTTATAGTAAGACAATAGATTTCTAGGACACTTTTGTGTAAAAAGTATATTCTTGGTTGAGGTCGATGCGAGCAACTGTTTTCGAGATATTGGGATTTGAAACAATCGATGCATTTGAATTATTTCCATTGGGCTTGTAAGTCGACTCTAAGCAGTGCATTTTTCTTCTTACATTCAATATTCCCTTCCATTCAACAATTCAACATTGGAATGTAGCCAAATGATGATTCTTACTTCTTTGTATCTATTTTTTGGCCATTTTGAACAATTACTTTAATCAATTCCCTCAACTAACTGTTTTAGTACTTTTTTGGTCTCAATTACAGTTATTATTATCAGTATTGTATTATAATTACACCCGATTCCTATTTTAAAATGGAATAAAAAAAAATTTTTCCTTACCTACTTGATAAATCAATTTTGAATTCCTACTTCTTCGTCATTCCATATTACTTGCATTGATTATTGAAAATCCCAATGACTCGAAAACTGTTGCTCGCAGCGACCATTACCAAGAATATGTTTTTTACACGAACGTGGTCTAGAAAACTATTTTCCTATACTATAGAACGTGATACAGGTACGCACAAAAAAGTTGTGACTTTTCAAAAGACTCAGAAGACATGTAGGTGCCGCCATCCTCACGAAAGAGATGAACTAACATAAAATTTTATATTGTCATTGAAAAATACCCCGAAATAGCAAAATTCATTTGAATATCACAATTATTCTGAAATTTATTAACAAAAAACAAAAATAAGAATTCAACTTTGACACTCTGTATCTCAGAAACGAATAACTTTCGGACATATATTTATACCATCTTTTCTTCTTATTTTGACGTCAGCAACATGCTCCTGGATTTTCTACACGTACTTAAGAAACACCTTGTATAAAGAAAGTGAATTTTTGGAATATCTATTTGTTTTTCTACGTTATCATTAGATATATAGGAAACTCTAAAAATACTTTTACATGGCATCTCTTGATGAGATTTAACGTGGTGATATTGATTTCTCCACGCGACGTTTCGTATACGTAGAGAAATCAACAACTTTTTTTTCAAATACGGCCCTGATTATCTGTTCACAGATTTCGAAAGTTTTTTTTATTCTGAGTTCAACCATGGGGAATTATAAACAATTTTGTAAATTTTCGAAATCCATTGGTATGACCAGGTATGGCCCTTAGAATGCGTAATTTTTTTCTCATTTAACCAAATTCGTATCTCTTACCGTTTCCGAGATCCCTCGCGAGACCCTCATGCTGCGCAACCTTATCATGGTCACACTGTTCAACTTTTTTGTTAAGTACCAATATCTATCGAGAAAAAATAGTTGAGAGATTGGAAATGGCAAAGATTTGTTATATTCAAAATGAAAGTAAGAGGAAAAATTCGAGAGATCAGACGACTAAGTTTATGTAAAAAAACAATTAGAAGAGTTGAAATAATTTACTAGGTATTTGAAATGAACATTCTCAGATATATTTATGAACACAAAAAAATGGATATATATATATATATAAAGAAATACATTGAGAATTCGCATTCTCCATGTGATAAAAATATCAATTCAGAATTACTTTCCACGTCTTGTATGATGAATGTCAATTCATCATACATTCAAAAATTACTAGGTATTATTTCTCGTGCACAAAACGTCAACCTTCTGTAGCTAGGAATCGGCAATAAGATGTCAGTCAATGAAAATGATCGATCTATCATGGTACAAAAATATAAGGAAATGAAGCGAAGGTTGAAATAAAGTAAATGATGATATTTCTCCAATACCTACCTGTATTATTGTATACATCTTTGAATAGAAGAATATTGTATTTTTTCTGTGACGGGAAAAAAGTTTGGCATTTCATCTCTGTTGACAGGTTATAAAATGTCACTTTTCATAAATTACTTTTTTCCCGTGGGAAAAAAGTGAGTACTTCTTTCCCGGATATATATCACATATATATACTATGTTAATGGCTTTTGTTGTGCTATAGTTCCGAAAAATGAGTCAATAATACCGTCTCCGAGAAAGAACTGCAAGTCCTTTTATCTTCCATTCGACTTCGCGGTTTCCTATATTACTAAACAACTACTGAATTCGCAATTTTTCAAAATCAAATCACAGAATTGAACTGACAGAAGTGACATCAGATATTTGATT